GACCTAGGGAAAATCTTGACATTCTTTACTCTATTATATAAGTCCGTTGTAATCAAGAAGAAGTCAATTCTTGAGAAGGATTGGTGTCTATCTGAAAAGAAGGTAAAGTCTTTCTCCTCTTGATTACATTCCCGCCAATAGTCCCGTAATTCCCAGTCCTCTTTCATATCAAAAAAGGCTTTAGGTAGTTTTGCCTGCTTAAGAAGAGGAGAGGAACCTTTTTTGTCCCTTTGTACATCTAAGACACCGTTCCAATCCCCCATTAGTACCACGGATCTGTAGTCCAGCAAATTTATTTTTTCATGTAAGAGTCTATAAAATTGTTCCTGTTGCTGATTTGGTGCATATAGTCCCACTATAAGTACTTTCTTACCATATAAGCCCAATTCAACCATCACATATCTCCCTTGGGGGTCAGACTCCACCAGACAAACTGGCAGATTTTGCTTAACATAGATAACAACTCCCCCCTTCTTCCCGGAAGCAGAAGATACGAAGTGAGATCCCAGACGGGCATTAACTAAATATTTCTGATCCTTAAGTAAAATATGAGTTTCCTGTAAGCAAATAACATCATTATTACGTTGCTTCAAATAATAAAAGATTTTTTTTCCTTTTCTGAGGAGAATTCAATCCATTAACATTCCAGGTCAAAAACTTTGCCATCTCCCTTGGCCCGCAGCCTGGAGAAGACACCTTGGAGATCTGAAATTGCAACATGTGTTGCATGACTCTTGGGTCTTGCTCCTCCCACCGGCGGTGATACATTTCCAGGAGAAATCTCTTTGGCCTCTTTCTTACGTTGCTCCTTCTCTTTACGTTTATAAGCTGCACGAGTCATTCTCTGCTCTTTAACCTCCGTCTGGCGTTGCCATTCAGCTTGCAGCATCCCAGCAGAAACCAAACCTAATGCCTCAGACTGCTGCTCCGCCTCTTTGCCACTCAGGGATTTCTGAACAGGTAAAGTTGAGCCTGCACCTAGGACTGAAGTATAGAATTCTCTAGCTTTATCAACCGTATTCAATCTATAACGTGTCCCCGCATGGCTCAGAACAATACCCATCGGGATTTCCCATCTAAATGGCATCGATCTAGCTTTAAGCTCATTAGCTAAGAAAGCAAAATCTTTCCTGCTTCTTAAAATTTTTGATGGGATTTCCTTTAGTATGATGACATCTTGGGCAGCTATCTGAAATCTTTTATTATAAAAGGCTTGTATGATCTCATTACGCAGAGACTTCTTCGTAAAATAAATCACCACATCTCTAGGCAAATTCTTCTGCTTAGCAATCCAAGAGTTAAGCCTGTACACTTTTTCAACTTCTCTGCGTAATTCTCCTTTGTCCATATCCAAAACCACAGCCAAATCAGTAAGGACCACCTCCATCAGATCTTGATTCATATCTTCCTTGAGGCCTCTAATCCTCAAGGCATATTCCATCTGCCTATACTGAAACATCAGAATATCTTCTTGTGAAGTCTCCACCTTCCTTTCCACATCTTGAATTTTATCATCAAAGGAATCAACTTTATCTTCAACTTCCTCGAGTCTTGCATTCAGCTTAACCACCACTGTAGCCAAACCTGAGACTGCTGCAAGTATATCTTGTCGCAAAATATTATTGTTATTTTCCAATTGATCCTTTATCCCACTTATCTCTTCTTTGAAGTCAGATTTAATTTCTGATTTAAGCTGTGTAGAAAATTGCTTCATTTCCTCTCTCATTTGAGCTACAGCCTCTCCCATTATACCTCTAGCCTCTTGTGCTGAAAGTCCAGGCAAAGGAGGGGAGGGTGGTGGCTGTGCTGGTGGTGCGTGTTTAAGTTGTTGTTGTGGTTGTGCAGTAGAAGTTATAGGGGAGGAAATCACCTTGGATGTTGTAGAAGGCGGCTGTCTCTTTGAAGCCATTTTAAATGACACAGTTCTCACTTCCCTTTCCCCCCCCCCCAAAAAAAAGAGATGAGGGGGAAAGAGAAAAAAATTTACTTTTAAAAGAGGCAGCAAAAACACTATAATCCAGAGAAAAAAGACCAAGAAAAAAAAAATCAAAAAAGAGGGTTCAATACCAAAAGCAAAAGTAAAGTCCAGTCCTTAAAAGGAGAAAGTGAAACAAAAGACAAGGGAAAAAAAAACTCCGTCACTTTCAAAACGCCATCTTAATTCCTTCTCCACAGTAATAAAAAAAAGGAGAAATAATCAGAACTAAATAAAAAAAATAAACACCTAAATTATATAAGAAAAAATCCTTTAAACTGCTCTGTCCGTTTTTTAGGAATTACTCACCAACTCTCTATAAGCACGGAGATAGAAGCGGCAGTTTCTTTTGCTTCCTGGGAAGCAAAAACAGCTGGGAGGCGGAGACAGCAAGAGCTCCGAGGGAACACTCCTTTCACCCCCTCTAGAATTAAATCCAGAGAGGGTTCAGGGGTTCTACCTCTACTCTTGCACTCTCTGTCCCTTCCCTTTGCCCGGGAAGGGAATTCCGAGCCGCGGGCCAGCTGATGCGCGCTGCGCTCCGCGGCTCTGACACTTTCCCAGCTGGACGGCTAGAGGATAGCCGCCATCGCTGTCGCTCCGTACCGGAAGCCCCCCAGTGTGTAAAAATTTTTTACAGTTTATCATCCTGATATCTTGCATAGATGAGACTAGGGTCATATTTTTGGAATGCACATAGACACGGATATACCTCTTCTCTGGTCACTAGCTAGCATTCATTTCGACCATTTCTTTCTCAACTTTTGGCTTATTAGCACTTTATATCCCAAAATTAGTTCTAGATCTGTAATTACTCCCCTTTGCTTTTGACATCAATTTTTTCTCCAGTCTTTCAATAAGACAAAGCATCATTCATCTTCACTATTTCATTTGGGGAGAAGTAGGGGTTTACTTCCTTGCTAGTTTCCTTGTATTTGCCATGTTCTGTACCTTCTTTCCTCTCCTTAAAGGAAAAAAGGTATTGCCCATCAGCAAATCAGTTTTAGTTCTTCAATTCTAGTTATACAACCAGTTTTCTGACTTTTCTGGAGCAATTTCTGCCCTGGTGCTATCCCATATATTTGTTATTTAACTTAGGAGATGCCCAGGTAGGGTTTGGGAGGACAGTCCATCAATCCAAGCTAGGGAAAGTGGACCATGGAAGATGCCTGAAGTTAGAGATGCCACACTGATGTTTTTTCCATTGGCTGGAGGTATGCTGGAAGAGGTAGCAAGTCAGAGGAAAAAAACCAATAATTCTGCTTATGAATGACATATTCTCAAATCAGAACAGTATCATTTTGTAGTGACTTAGAAGTCATCCAAAACAGGAAGCAGGGCAGGGTCTGGCAGGAAGACAATTTTTGCTGGAACCAATCAAGGGTGAGCAGTTAGCACTTTCACCCAATAATACATATAGTAGTTAGGGAAGGGCTCAGTCACATGATAATCCCAAAATTTTGGGATATTTGAAGATATTTCAAATCCTGACTCTAGCACTTGGAAGCTCTAAAGTCCTGATTCTACAATTCTTCCAGTTGGGAGGAATTTTTTTCAGAGCCCACAGTGTATCAAAATTCCATAAGCCAATAGATGAACCAAAATACTATAACTATCATATATGTAGTGTTCCACATTTTGTAATAGAGTTCTCTATTGAAAAAAATAGTACAAAATTTTTTAGGGAAAATCTCACAAAAATATGAACATGTAAGGAAACTAATTATCAAAGTATGTATTCTTATTAGATTTAAAAGGCACAATTTTTATGCAGTTCTGTAAGAAAAAGCATTGTAAATTGATGCAGAAAAAACAGCTGATTTAATATTGGAAATAAATGAAAAATTAAGAAAAATCTAAAATGAGGTTTTATTTATTAATTTCCCATTGTGTTTGTCTCATAATAATGTTGCATTAGATTTAGAAGCACACCAGTTGGCTGCTGAATGAATAGTCATTTCGAGATGTCATATCAGAAATTCATGGTGCTTACATAATATTTGGGGTGAATGTCCAGCATGCAGTGTCCATAACTGCAATTTATTTATTTCATAATTCAATTGCTACTTTGAGACGCACACAATACTCACAAACCATCTTTTTATTTTTCTTATTATATATGTAGCACTTTAATTTCCCCAAAGAACTAGTTCCATTGTTTCAATAGTTTCCTAGCTTTGGACCCATTATCACATTGTCACTTCCTTCTCATAGACATCACTAGCAGAGTAGAAAAAAACAAAGGAACAAAACAGGAAAATAAAAATAATAAATAAAATAAAAAATAAAACAAAATAATAAAAATCGGGAATTTCAAGAAAAAATGTCTTCAGTCTGGCAAACCTTTCGAATTTAATAGAATATTTTTACTGAGAGAAAAAGCTTCTTTACTAAAATCAAATATAAATAATTAAATCAGATGTTTAGGATAGATTGCAATTTTATTGTTAATGGCTTTGAGATTTTTTAAAATAGGAAACAGTATACAAATATTTTAAAACAAATAGTTTTATATCAAAGTTCCCTAGCATAGGAAAAATAAAATTTTTACATAACAGGAAAAAGCTCTCTTTTTTCCTTCTATATAAAATATATCAAAATACAATTCAATGAAAAATCATAACCATTAATTTTGTGAAATTTGCTTGAAGATTACTTGCAACCTTATTAATATAATTATCATGAAAAGTCGTTTATTTTGCTTTAAATTTTATATCTGAGGGTTTTAAGTGTGCATAATTTCAAAAAAAGCATTTCCTACTTTTAAATGAGATGATCTTTTGTGTCCATCTATGGTTTTTAGAGATGAATGCATTTTAAGAAAAACACATATATTGGCTAATTGAGGAACCTTTTAGTAGATCATTGTTATGATAAACATTCAGAATGGTGTTCAATTAAATATTAAATTACAATTAAATATTGTAATATTACAATTAAATATTGTAATATTGCAACCTTCCCAGTGAAAAAATTAATGTTGCAATGAATACTGAGCTTCCTATGGTCTTTTTTTCCCCCTCAGCGGTCAGCTTCAATGAACATAGTGGGTTTTCCAAACATTTTAGAAGTTGATTTGTCTTCAACAAGGACATCCAAACAAGCTGATTCACAGGCAAAAGAAATCTGCAGTGCAACACCTAGCCTGTCCCAAAGTGTACCATATATCTCTGAAGTGCTTTCTGAACCTGTATCTACTTACAATCTATCTTTGGATAGAACCAGTACCCTGAGTTCTGAAAATATTGAACACTTAGCAATTGGTGGCATGCCTTTGGTAAACCCAGTTTGTAAGGTAAGAACAGTTGATCTATCAGGTAATCATTTGGTAGGGAAAAAAAATCACAAGAATGGTCAGTCTAGTTTATTTCATAAGCCACCATACACCTGAAAAATCTCTGCTGAGAATATTGGAACCTAAAAAATTGGGCAGTATTTTTATGCAGCTCTCATTTAGGTTATCTGGAACTTCAGTACTGATATGCCTTTTGTATAAACCCAGTTAATTTCAAAAGCTCCTATGCAAATCAAATTCCTGCCAAGAGTTTCTTATTTCTTGACTTAGAGACCAATATAGAATCCATGTGGGGCTTTTCTGTTCTTATGGCAAAAAGTTAAAAGTCCCCGTCAAGAAAAATTAAACTTTGGATTTTCATGAACAGTTCCAAAGAATTTTATTGGTAGCATTATAGAAGTAATTTGCTTTTGCTACGTAGAGTGAGCCTATAGATATGATACTTCCTTGTAGATATTTTGTGCCCAAACCTGTGGTAAGGTTATGTTGAGAAATGTTTGAAATTTGTTGTAGATCTATGTTTCAAAGATCTTAAGTTATTTGAATTCATGCTTTGTGTGCCCCTCAGAATGAAGCACTCTGAGTCAGAATAAAATAATTCTGCTTTTTTATTTATTATTTTGTTGATGTATAAAATATTTTGTAAATTTCACTTTTTTTTCTCTTCAATTACCAGCTGGAAAATGAAGAGTTTAGCCATGTGAGTTATCCTCTTGGGAGCAATACTGTCACTGCACAATCAAAAGACATGAATGAAATGATTCTTCCTTTACAAAATATTCTGGAAGAGCCTATTAATCTCTCAGTGAAGAAAACTCAGCCATGTACCTCTCCTCCCTTACTTATCAGCAACACAACTTTTATGCAATCTGTTAATCCCAAACCAGGACACACTGAAGGTACCAGATTTTTTTTTTAGCTTTCATAGATGTTTAAATCATAATTATTTCAAGCTTTGCTGCTGAAAATACAAATGTTTTGTATGAGAAACCATAAATTAAATTATGTTTTCTGTAATTGTCCCATGTTTTTTATTAATGTCCAGTATGCTGGCCTTTAGTAAACATGGAACAACTTCCTGACTAATGGTGGAACACGTTAAAAATATAATATTTATCTAAGCTTGATTTAATGTTAGAAATCTGTTAACATTAGAGATCTATTAATTTGAATGAGCCTGATAACATAATAAAGATGATACAGTACACTTTTAAATGTTATCAAAAATATCATACAAGAGAAGTAGCAGAGAAAAATTTATTATGTATTAAGATAGAAAAGATAGCAGGGAGTTTGGCTGTTCAAGAATGACATTTTGGAAGCATCCAGATACGATCACCATCACTTGATGATCTTCCTTTGTATATTTTATTCATTGTGATTAACTGGTACTGCAAAGCCAGTTTATAGAATGTAAAAGCAGTGTAATTTTGTAGGATAAATTGCCATTTTCAACAGATCTGCCAACTGTCATTCATGTTCTAGTAACATCCAAATTAGACTATGAATTTTCTATACGAGGATACCATTGATGGCAATTCTGTATCACAATTCTTTCAGAATTAAACTGCTGTTAAATTCTGCTATATCTCAAGTTCTGTTGGCTTGTGTCAGACAGAACATTTTTTTTCTTTAGTTTTTTTTGCCCCAGTGGATCTTTGAATTTATAATAATCTCCTTTCCCATTCAGGGAGGGGCTATTATTTATGGCAACTCCAGGATTGGTATAGCTGACAGGACTGATTAGGTCCATTTGAGGGAATAGAATGGCTTTGGATCCAGTAGATCGAAAACTGACTCTTCCATGCCCCCCACCCCAGAACACCCATTTTGTGGCTTCCTGCTGACTACTGCCGGGAGGAGAACTACCAGCAGATTTCCGCCTACTTGAATGCCATAAAGGTCTTCATCGTGGTTGGATCCCACCCCAGCAGTGCTCCTTGCTGACAGCAAAGGCCGTTGGAAAATCACCAAGTTCCTAGCTTCCTCCAGCCACTAACGTTGCCACTAACTTGTGCTCTCAGATAATTACTTTATGAATTTAAGATTCATAATTGAGAGTTGATAAGATTTTAGACTTGTGTCAGGTCAGAAATAGGGAAACTTTGTGAATAGCCAGCCTATTTTTAGATATGTTATATGTTAAATGTATCTCTAATTTTTGTAATGTTGCTTTATTAATAAAGATTTTTGTAAAAAACATTTATTCTCTGAAGTCAACATATTGACACTTAATGATGGTCAGTATTATAAATAAGATTGGCAATGCCCCCTTCCACAGGAAAACACAAAAATAGATTCATAAGTATAAAGAAAAACAAAGCTATCTCTTAATAGAATCCAAGAATATTTTCTTCCAGCCCTTCCTGCCCCATGTATTAGGATACAATCCTATAATCCCTAAGAGGTTTCAAAAATCCTAGATAGTCCTATGAACGAATATAGAAATTTGCATACTGAGGGAAAGAAAACTTCAAATTCCCCTTGACTTCCAGGGATGAGCTCCACCAATATAGCTGTGTGAGGGACTAAAAAGATCACATGAGTGACAGATTAGAGCAGAGTCTGTTTCTGCTGGATACAAAGCCCCTTATGTCCCACTATCTTCCTGTAATTGAAGAAAACAATGTCATCCCTGGAGCTGTTGTAAGTGTCAAAAGCAAACAATGAATATTTAAGGCATTATGGTTTTTGGAGCATCAATTCAACAGAGTTTTGGGAGTTATTCTGCCACAAATTCTCTCTTCTTAAAAGATTTCTCTGCTAATGGACTATGGAAGGAATTAAGGATATGCGTATCAATGTTAAGTCCAGTAAATGTGACATACTTTAAAAAAAATCCAGAATTATAACTTCTGATATTTGTGTTATCTGCACACCATAGTCACAATGTAATTATCTTTGCCCTGTATGCAGCTTTCTCTACACTGCAGTAAATTCCTTGTCCACGTCTTTTGAACTAAAAAATATTTTGAGACAACAGTAAGAAATTCTGTGAAATACACCTGTTCATGTTCCAGTGGATTCCATTGGGATGAATCTTAATAATTTTGACTGAAATTACAGTACAGGTAGTCCTAAATTTATGACAATTGGGACTGGAATTTTGGTTACTAAGTGATGCAGTCATGTGACTGGACTTGATTAGGACCATTTTTTTTATTGCAGCCATTAACTGACTCACCATTGTCGTTAGGGAAATTACATGGTCATGAAGCAAATCACATAGTTATTAAGCAACCCCCCCCCCACTGATTTTGCTTGTTATAAGTCGGCTGGAAAAAATCACAAATTGCAATCATGTGATCGCAAGATGCTGCAACTATCATAAATGTAAGCTGGTTGCCAAGTGCCTGAATTGTGATCCTGGGGGTGGTGCGAAGGATGTAACTTCAAGGATGTGTTGTATGTCATTTTTTTCAGTATCATCGTAGCTTCAAACCATCATTAAACGAATTGAAGTTGAAAACTACCTGTACTTCTGTGAGAAATTTACTGTAGGTCTGTATTTTGGATGCTTAAAAAAATATCTCTCACCTTTAATCAAGGTAGCTTTGTGTTATTTTACTCATTTTATTTCTTGTAGATTGTTCTAACTGTGAAGAAGAACATTTTGAAAAGGAAATTAAAAGTAGTCAGAACAACAGGTAATCAGAATTAATGGATCTTACTAAGACTCATTTCAAGAAATGAATCTTTTTTTTTTCATTTAGAAAGTATGTAAATTGGGATTAATCAATTGTTGAAATAATCCAGGTAGAATGAAGCAATTCTAGATGAGAAAAATGTATGAAATAAAAATTAATCCAAATTACGCTGTAAATGGAAAACTAATTTTCTCTGAAAAACTTCAGATGTTAATACTAATATATCTAGCCATTATGTTTAAGTAGTACCATACCTAATAAGATAGGCATGATATAAATGACTCAATACATCAAAGGAATTATATACTCCTGCAGAACTTATAACGTGGTACTATAATTACACAATATCCATTTTTCATTTTAGTTTACCTAATTTTGAAACAATTATATATTTCTTTTAAAATCAGATATTTTCTTTATATGCACTATAAAAAATCATAATATCTAATTCATTTATATTACCTTTTTTAAAATGGCCTAAGTAGTCATAGACATCATTCCAAAATTACTAATATATGGAGTCAGTATAAAAATTATTTGAGTGTGAAAATGTGCAAGCTGCTTACTATTGTATATGGAAATCTGTTGGTTCTAAAGTAGAAATGATAGTGTGGAAATATAAGATCATTTAACAAAAACAATGTTAAAATAGTAATTTAAAAAAAATTAAAATTGTTAAAACATCAGTACTGATTTAAATATTAACAAAATATAACATTTTGACTTAGTTTGCTGAATTGTGTTACAATGGTAAAGATAAGATAGCACTGATAAAGTTGATCCATTATTTAACACATTTTAGAATTTGTGCCAAAGAGGTGAAAATCCCTTATGTGCGATTGGAACGATTGAAGATATGCACATCAGAATCTGGAGAGCTTCCAATTTTTAAATTGCAGCCACAAAAAAGTACACATGATGGGACATTTCTGTTGATTATTGAATGTGGTACTCAGTCTTCAAGCATGGCTATTAAGGTAAATTCAATTTATCTGCCTTAATTTGTTTTTTTCCCATTTTATTCAAATGCATTTAATAACATTCAATGACGATCATGATCAGTGAATTTCATCATGGTGATTTACTTTGAGCCAAAGTAGAGGGACAGCTAGGATTCATAATCATATCGTTCAAATTTTATTGCTTAAGAAGTAACATTAAATTTGGGCATGAGAATATTCCAGCAAACCATTTTTCTGAAGTAAATACTCATACCCAAATATCAAAATGAATATTCTAACGGGAGAAATATTCAGAAAAAAAATGCTACATATCAATCTTGACTTGGAGGTATTCTTTCATTAGAAGTTGTGATGTTTTTGAAAGGGTAGGTGCTGACAAATGGAAGCAGTATTCAGTAGCATATTACATAAAAAAATAATAAGTTTTCAAACATTGTGTACCAAACGTTGAGTCAAAGTTGCATTTGTGTCAAGGACTACCATGTGGAAGTGAAATATACTATTCCTTTTCTGCATATGCACTGTGCTAGAGCATGGGGCATACAGTGCTTTTGAGAATATTATTATTATTGTTAAGTGACTAGTGATTGAAATCTTGTAGAACCCGAACATTATTGTATTGACTCTTATTGTATCCTCATCATGTTGTTTTCTTTAAGAGTGCTTTGCCTGCTATGCCATTGAAAAAATTAAATTAATATTCATTAATTTATAAATTTTATTCCGTTTTAAGTAATATCACTTTTGAAGATTATATAAAGCAGTGGCTTTACTTGCAGGAATGCTGGGAAGTGACGAATAATTATATGTTCATCTCAATTTGTCGTGCTTATATTTCAAAAGTAATATAGTTGTCCTCGTGTAATTCCACTCAGCCAGCAACCATTCAAAATTATGACAATGCTGAACAAGGGGGACTTCCAGTGGGTCCTCATAGTTGTGGCTGTTGCAATATCTTTGCAGTCACATGATTGTAAATCAAGCAGTTGACAGCTGGTTTGCAGTTAGGACATTGCAATGTTTCATGGTCATGTGATTGATATTTGTGACCTTCTTTGCTGACTTCCAATAAGCAGAGTTAATGGAGAAGCCAGCAGGAGTGATCTTTTCATAAAACCAAGCTTTAGAGCAGGGGTCCTCAAACCTGGCCACTTTAAGACTTGTGGACTTCAACTCCCAGCATGGCTGGCTGGGGAATTCTGGGAGTTGAAGTCCACAAGTCTTAAAGTGGCCAAGTTTGAGGATCCCTGCTTTAGAGCCTCAATGGCTGCAAGAATCATAATGAATGAAAATACAGTATCATCAGTGGGTTGCAACTTTCATTGAGCAGTGTACAGTCTGAAACTTTATTCAGCCTATGGTATACTCCTATTTCTTTTTCCTTCAGGTCCATTTATTGTCCCCTTGCCCCAGATGGAGGCTTCTTTAGATCAGCATGTGAAGCAGTGCTGAAGGCTGCTGAGAAAAGGAACAAATTGGCAAACAATGCTGTTCTTCCCCCACCCCCATGCCGCTTTTCTTCTGTTAGGGACTCTTCACTTGAACCTCTCTTCCTTCTTTAAATAGAAGGAAACTTTTTTCATTAAAAGGCCAGTTTGGCTACAAAGAAGGGCTTGTATGTCTCACTTATAAGGCATGCTTCCATTCAGAAGCGGACATTTTAGCTTTATAATTAGCTGGTAACTATACTGCTTAGGTCATTTAAAACTCTGGGCAAAATTACTGAATTATATAATGAATGTTAACTGGAGATTATGTAACAGTTGAAATCTCAGGAGACCTCCCCAATATCCAGTCTTCAGAAGAAACTAATATATTACATTCACTACAGGAAATGTCCCGTTATTTAAGCTTCTGCAGTATATTAAGCACTTTTTGTGAAAAAGTTTTCACTTTTCATCCTAGGTCAATCAAGGACATTCATCTGAAAGTCTAAATCCTAAAGTTGGAGAAAACCTGGAGAAAAGCAGGATCCTCACAAGCCAGCTGACTGAACAGGTGTTACTTCCTTCAGGAGATCACAGGCTCAGTAATAACATGAAGAAATCTGGGCATCCTCAGGAAGATCACCCCATTGAGAATGAAGACTTTTGTGCTGTTTGCCTGAATGGAGGAGAACTTTTGTGTTGTGATTACTGCCCGAAGGTGTTTCATCTCTTGTGTCATGTTCCTGCATTACTTAGTTTTCCTGTGTGAGTATAACAGAATTAGGAATATTTGTTCTCTCCTTTAGGTCTAGATCTTTGCAATTGAACTGCTTTAGAACCTCTCTCCTTGAACTGATGTGTTACTTTTAGTGCTTTCTTCCTATTACTTTTGTTTGTTTGTTTTGAAATAATAAGAACTTATTCAATGTTAAGCTTGGATTATATAAAAATCTAACACAGTATAAATGTTTCCAATGGAATTTTTGTTTTTGACAAGGCAAACATTGAGGATAAACATCAAAAAGATTTGTTTGGGTGTTTTTTCAGGTTATTACAATCTAACTTTCTATAAACAATGAAGTATATTTGAAAGAATATCATAACTTTCTTCTTTGCTCTTGATGTTTGGGAATTCGGTTTATGTCTCTCCCATGTCTTATGTTATTAAACTTGTTATAATAACTTAAAGAATGTATAATCTGTATAGATTTCTGCAATATTCAGAGCAATGGGATTGTCTTGCCAGACGCAATGAGTAAAAGAAAATTCTTCCCTAATTTAGCATTTCAGATTTAAAAAAAAATCAAGAATTTCTTAGTCTAATACAGAGATCCCCAACCTTTTGGGCACCAGGGACCGGTTCCGTGGAGAAAGGTTTTTTCGCAGACCGAAGAGTGCATGGTTTTGCATCCCATGGATGGGGTTTTGCTTTTTTGTGCGGACTGGTTGCTGGCATGCCACAGACCGGTACTAGTCCATGGACCGGGGGTTGGGGACCCCTGGTCTAACAGAATGTTAGTTAAGACATTGTCTACCATTAACTTTTTAATTGAACTATACTGTACCAATGCTGCATGGGGCTTTATTTTTGTGCTGCAGAGGTGAATGGGTGTGCACACTTTGTCGCAATGTGGAGAAACCAGAGGTAGTCTATGATTGTGAAAACACACGATTTGACTACAATACGCTCATGCGAGCAAGACCAGTTTATGGCCTTGATGAATATGACCAAAAGGTAAGTTCAGGTAACAATATTAATAACAAATGTGTCTTCTTTGCTAATAATGTACTTTCCCTTTTCAGTAAGTCTGCATATCCCAGAAAACAGCATTGAAAGAGCTTCTTTAGAAACTGGGCAGAATCACGTTTTGAGTTACAGTAGCACTTGAACTGAAGTTTATCTAGATTAGTTAAGCATTTTTGAATTATTTTGTCTTTCCTCTCTTTTATGAAATGAAAGGGGATAAGAAAAATACGTACAGGATATTTTTACATGGTACTAATCATTTACTGGGAATGTATTTATTTAAATGACATATATGGCTGACCAGATCATTAGTGATTCTGGGTGCTGTACAAAGATTAAAATATAAACCCCAACGTATAATCCACAATGCCCAAAATTAAAACAATAATCCCCAATTACAAAAACACAAATCCACAGCTGCAGAGCTGCCCTAACCTCCTGCCCTGAATGCCTGGAGAAATAACCAGGTCTCCATACCTTGCAAAAGGCTAATAGGATCAGGACTACCACATTTAGAGTATATTACAGTAAACTAATTGTATTACTGTATTGTACTGAATTGTACTATAGATATTATGTTAAAACAATAGAAGTGAAACAATGGAAGCTAGCCAAGAATTTGTTTTGAGCTGCATGTAGATCTACCTGTTTTAGAATTACATTATGAGAAACTAAGAATATTAAGAAATACAAATGTCAGTGTAAAAACTCTTGATTTAAGTCAATATAGATATTTATACAGAATATAGATGTTCATGCAGTCATTTAATATGCATTAAGTTAATTGTAGATTTATATCTTATAGAAATGTGAGAAATTGGTGCTGTCACTGTTCTGCAATAGCTTGAGTCTTCCATTCCATGAACCGGTCAGTCCCCTGGTAAGTACACAGAATGAAGTAACTTCTCTGGACGGTATGACCTTATCAATCAATGATTAGCTTCCCCCCCCCTTTCAGTGTGTACAGGCTTTTTTGTCTCTGCCTTGCCTTCTACAGTGAAAAGGCTTTTATCAATTAAATGACCAGAACTATTTCAACAAAATTTCCAGTTATCTTAAAAATTGATCTAATCTTGTACTTGAGTCAGTTGGTAGTTTTGGAAACAGAAAAAAAAGGGGAAGGCAGTTTGGAGATTCATTGGACTTTCAAACACTGTTCCAGCTTTCTTTCCATATACTGCATGCAGAAAGCTAGAGGAAGGAGGTGCAATGTGCTCTTTAATATTGATACAAGTGCAGTAATTGGCCAGTAAATTTGATGACCTCTATAAATTCTGCCTACTTGGGGAATAATTGCTTTATTGTTTATGCTATATTTTATTTAAGGGAATTTCTTTTGAAAGGAGAAAGTGTTGCTGTGTTAGAGAATTGGGCATAATTCTGTTTCTTCACAATACTATTAAATAATAATAAATAATCACTTTTTTTGTAATTGTTCCACAAGCTGTACATAATCCATCATTCACAGAAAAGGTTAATCTTGCCATTGAGCCATGCCAACCAATCTGCCATCCCAGAAAAAGCAAGTGATCTTAGCTTTTAAAGTTTTTATCTGTTAGTTGGTATAAGATATTCGTTACACTGATTGGTTCAGCACGGTTTGTCTATTTGCTGAAGAGTTTTAAGGTTGCTATTCTTTCTTGTCCCTGCTATCTCTCCTAAAGAGGTGCAGGGGAAATGTTTACAACGTCAATGTTTTTTAAAAAAACATACAGCTGAAACTTTATATGATCAGTGTTGTCAAAAGCAAAAGCATGCTAGTTCTTTGGGGTCAATGATTGCATTTGCTTTGAATGGACTGAGTGTGGCCACTCTCCTTAAAAGTAGGGAGCATGGTCACGACAAAGGCAAACTGAATTTTATTCCATTGACTTTGACTATACATTGACTTACAGTTCTGTAATCATGGATTTAATAATTTTGCCCTTTTCTCCCAATAAAAAAATGAGCTCCACATCAAAAGATGGGACCTCAGTTTAATATATGTATAAGTAAAGGGCTTCTATAGGGATCAGAGAAACCCGGAGGTTTTATTAGAATTACTTTATAATCCTGGTTTATCATCACATATAAAAAAAATGGAGGAAATATTTGTTTTGTGAATGATTTAGCATCGTGGAATTTATCAAATATCCTGCTAATGGGATTCTTTACAGGCTCGCCATTATTATCAGATTATCAAGAAGCCCATGGACTTGTCTATAATTCGGAAAAAACTTCAGAAAAAAGACGAACTGCATTATACCTCTTCAGAAGAGCTGGTGGCAGATGTTCGCCTTATGTTTTGGAACTGTGCAACATTCAACTATGTAAGTTCTAGTATACATATAAAGGACATGGTTTTGTTTTGCTATGAATATTTTTATTTGAGTTTTTAAATGAGATTGTAGATAAAGAAAATATGGAGATGGCTAGAGTTAATAGAAGAAAAGATGCATATAGAACAAACACTGGTACTAGTTCTGATTTGAATATTTAGAAAAGTACAATTCAAAATAATTTTAAGGGAAGTAAAGGAGAAAGGAGTACTTCATCCTTTCATTCTGTGCCCTTCTACAGGTCCCACCACTCTGAAAGAAAAATAAAACAAGGCACAAAAGATGAGGGAACAATATCTGCTGTATTATTTTAGACTTTATGATTGGCATGTCTTCAGAAAATTATAATTTGTTGTCATCTTTGCTTCTCATCATCTACTTTTTTTATTCCAATAGTAACATACTGTATCAGAAAAACCGACCATTCAACTGTAGGGCATTGGAGACTATTAATAGCCTATAAAACTTTATTAACTTTTTGAGTTTGACAATAGATAAGGAATCTAGAAAAATGGTTAATCTGGTGTTCTGTTTCAGTGTATATGTGCCATTCACTTGCTATATTAACAAGAATCCATCTTCCTATCACCATTTTGATGTGTGCTGATAATTTAAAATTATATTCAATGTACACATTGTATAACAATATACTCAGCTCATGCAAGACCATATAAACCGATTATAAACAATGACATAAAGCAGTCACTAAAATGATTCACTGCAACATTTGTAAAAATATGCCAGTAATGAAAAATTGGGAATATATAGTTGAAGAAATAGTAGATAACAGGGAGGTTAAAATATTGTGGGATTTCTGAATACAAACTGATAAAAGTTTGTATTTAACTGTGGTTGAAAAGAAAGTGTGTATAATTGATGTGATGAGATAGTACAACATAAGACAAAAAATTGTAAACCATCAGAAAGTATAGAGGTCTGAAAATCGAAATTGAAACATGCATAAACTAGCTAAACTAAAAAAATGCATAAACTAAAAAAACTTGGATGGCACTTAGAAAAAGTGCACATTGACAAATTGCCTTTGTCAGTTGCAAAAGGCCAAATTGCTTGGATCCACACATCTACTATTCTGATACATTATGACACTCTAGATTCTTCGAAAGAATTTGAGGCATACGAAAGCCAACACCAGGTAAAGAACTGGCAGCTCTAACTTCACATTGTTGTGAAGAGATAATTTATTAAAGTTATCTGCCACCCACTCTGGTGCATTATATATTATAATATATATTACATTATATTGATTCTCAAGTGCTTTGAAACTCATTGAATTTGGTACGCAATGCATTTTGACATGAATGTTTTGTCCCAGTACTCAATGTTTGTTTGGTACTCAGCACACAAGCTAGAACTTGTCGTCTGCCTTGTGATTGACTACATTATTCCTTATGGAAAAAATTTGTTTAGTACTCATCAATTTTGATTCTCATTGCACCTCTTGGAACCAAGTAATGATGAGTACCGAGGTACCACTGTATATATTATACTAATATATAGTATTGTTTATTTTGACATGCTACTGCCATGGACCATTTTCTTAGTCTGTTTTGCAATTAATCTTCTTGCTTTATATAAAGTGACTTAGTTTTGAAAAATAATTACCCTTAATAGATAAAATAATAAAGACTCATTGTCCTGAACAACATTATGTCCTAATTAATTATGGTGTTTCTTTGCAGCCTGATTCAGAGGTTGCTGAGGCTGGAAGGTGCCTGGAAATATTCTTTGAAAGCAAGCTCAAGGAAATTTATCCAGAGAGGCAGTTCCCCTTGGTGCAACAAGATGATTCTGATTTAGAAGATGTGGAGAATGAGAATAATCAAGCAACTCTCAAAGAATTGCAGTGGCCTTCATATAGGCAAGAGTGTATCCAGCCTAAAAGAAGACGACGACATGCTGTAAGAATTTAAGAGCAAACTCCCCTCATAGCTAAATGGTCACAAAGCTAATTCTGTCCAAAGCTGTTAGTACAGAGTTAACTATGTATTTTGGAATATATTCCCAAATGCTGTTTAGATGAGTGTTCTCCTTTTTATATCTTCTCATAATGTAGACTCTAGGCAAATCCACAGATTCATCGTGAAGAGAGTCAATTGAATAAGTCAAGATATGTTAAGAGTTGTAGAGTTATACGCACCAAATATAAAAGAATATACAATAATTATGGAAAAGATGAGGTGCTTTCATAATTCACCTGTTTGTTTCCTTTTTTAAACAGGAAAATGAAAAACCTAAAAGACCCATGTTTTGGCCAGCAAAAGGTTTCTCTCAAGTATGACTTCTGGAATGTTACTTGGTATGTTATGAACAACAATAACAATCAAAGGAACTGACTTTATAAGAGGAGATAGAAAATATTTATTTTGATGCTTAATATGAGCTTCAAAGTGATTGATTGACCTTATTTCTGTGAAGGGAGGATACATTCTAAAAATATTTTAAAGGGTAGTCTCCAAATTATCTGTTATGTTTAATTATTTGTATTTAAACAGAAGTTTCAATTATGAAATAGAGATTAGTAATAAAAAGATTTGGTGTGCTATTTTTAAAATTATTTTATAAATTCTGTTAATTTATAGATTTTTGATAACATAGCTACTGGACAGTTTTCTGTATGCAAGACATATTTCCCACTTTGTTATCCTGGAAATAAAATTACTGTTTAACTATAGACTTCACTCTCTAAGACTATCTTCTCCTACATTGAAGAAACTGAATTCAACCTTGCAATGCCATTCTAGGCATGTGATGTTGTTGGCTAAGTCGTGGGTGATTAACTACATCCTAAGAGGCTAAATGAAACAGTAGGACTTGGTTTTTTACTTAATACAATTCCAGAATGTGACTCAACAAGAAAAAAAATGGAAAGCACTTCATATAAGAATATTACTCCTTAAGAAATGGGGAGGTTTGAATACCTTTCTGACACCAAGAACTCACACTACAGATATGTTTAGATTATCTTAATTCTTTGTCTGATTTTACTATAAATAGAGAAGATGTTATTGGAGCCAATCAGCAAGTGCGAATTTCCGTAACTATGAGGGATAGAATATTTTTGAGGTAGTTTGAAATATATTAGAGTCCTGATCGTGTTATGTTCATAAAGCCACCTATATGCCTCATTGTTAAACCCAAGTGAATTATTTATGTAATTCATACAGTTGGTGACTGGAGGTATGGGTGATGGATGTTTTATCTTCCCCAGTTCTCATCTCTTAAAGCAAAGGTGCTTTAAGCAAAGAGTAACAATTTCTCATATACGCTAGACCAGGGTCCCCAACCCCCGGTCTGTGGACTGGTACCGGGCTGCGGCATGCCAGCAACCGGTCCGCACAAACAAGCAAAGTCCCATCCGTGGGATGCAGGCAGCACACAAAACCACACACTCTTCGGTCCGTGGAAAAACCTTTCTCCACGGAACCGATCCCTGGTGCCCAAGAGGTTGGGGACCTCTGCACTAGACAATACTCTAAATCAGTGTATCTCAATGTTGGTAACTTTAAGATGTGTGGACTTTCACTTCCAGAATTCTCCAGTCAGCAAGGAATTTTAAAGTTGCCAAAGTTGAGAAACACAGCTGTAAATGAAGACGGCTTTTCAGCACAGACTTTATGAGTTCATTCAATACTGTATCCATGAATGTTTCAGTGGAAGGCACTTTAAGTGAGTTTATAGAGTTATTAGAAAGTTTGGAATATTTTCTCCATTATTGATGTGAATAATATTCAACATAAACTCTGTAGAAAATGTCTCTTTTTCAATTGTGTAATAAACTAGTCTATGAAAGAAATATAAACTGTTCTGTTACATTATTTCCTGACAGGTAAAGTTCTTAAGGAAATTCTTCCCAGCAGTGTTAATCTGCTTGCATATAGTGCTGTTAGCTTAAAAATTGTTGTCCAGGTTTCAAGCACTGGTAATTTTGTTGGCTAGGTGTTCTATCTTGATGGCATAGTCTATGGCATAGGCTACGGTCTCCAATTGGTGAAGTCCCATGCTTATTTGCTCCTCCCACACATGCTGCAAAAATAAGCACTGGGTGGATCTTTGAAGATACATGGTTTCCATTTGCATGAGCAAACAATGGCCAGCATCATACAACCACAGTTATAGAGTTGGAATGGATTTTAGAAGTCACCTACTCCAATCCCAGACTCAGTATAGGAATTGCTTTCCTATTCTGAGTATTTCAATAATCTATCAAGGGGGAACCCACAGTTTCTTAATTCTTCCAGTCACCTGTTCTAAAAGAACAGTGAACTCTTGTCAATTTCATCCAGCTCCCAAATTTCCTAAATTGACAATTTTTACAGGGGCATGATGGCAGCAAGTAGCCTCAACACTTACCTAGCAATATTAAAAGCAAAAGGAAAAGCAATGTTCAATGTTTCAATACATCACCGGTGAATATTAAAAAAAACCCAATTTCATCAATAGGGGAAAAAGTAGCTTTAGCATGGAAATATTCCTTTTGAAGTGTGTGTGTGTGGGGGGGGGGGGAGACAGCTTGGTAACCCAGATGATTGACATGGAGGGCAGCAACCAAAACCAGAGGGGAGAGGGCATGCTCATCATGCATACAATAACTGTTTGGAAATAAGGCATCACTTATAACAAAATGAAGCACAGCACGTGGACTGTTTGGTACAGCTTTTCCTGGTAGACGTGAGAAATGCTATTGTTGACATGGACGTAAAAAACATGGGCAAATGTTTTCATTGTGGTAGGTTGCGGATGGGTTGAGGACAACACTGCAGTTCTGTCCTAGAAAAGCAGTGACCTGTCCTCCTGTCTAGCACAGTTGGCAATTGGTCGTAAGTGCAAACAGTTTGCCAAGTGCCCAGATTGCAATCAAATGACCATGGGTGCTGGGATGGCTGGAACTCTGAGGACTGGTTGTAATTATCATTTGCTCACCAGCATTGCAACTTCAATCAGTAGCTGACCTCATAGGTTGAGGTCTATCTGTACTGTAAAGCTTCTGTCCCCTTCCTTTTATTTCTTTACATTACAAATAGAAACATTAGAACTGTTTTTTTATGAAACTAAACAATCAGCTCAACACTGCTATAAAGTTTCCAAGGACCTACAGAGGAAAGTGGAAACAAAAGAACATCCTGTTCCTTATTACTTTTAATTATTGTAGTGTGGGAACCACAAGGGTACCAAAAGGGATTAAAAATAGAAATAGTCTGTGTAAATATTAAAAGATGCAATATGGGAGGGCTAAATCTCTCTCTTTCCACGTTCCTCTCTCCTTCCCTCCCTCCCTCCCTCCCTCCCTCCCTCCCTCTGGTTTGCAGTCCACATCTAGCAGTCACAGTCAATCCAATTATTCTCTAAGCATCTAATTTTCTTCTTTTTTAATACTAAAATTACTTTCTAGTTAGTAATTGTGTTTAGAATAGAAGCCTTAAAACTACCTCACCTTAGAAGTACATTTCCTTAAATTTGGTGGATTTGCACCCAAGTATGAATCTATATGACTAGGACTGTATAGATGTATTTAGAAGATTGACGATGATGGCATCTGTTCAATTGTGTCCAATTCTTGATAATTCTATGGACTAGCTCTCTCCACATTTTTTCATCTTGTAGGGCAGACATGTCAAACACAAGGACCGCGGGCTAAATGCGGCCAAGGAAGTGGTTTCATGTGGCCTGCGAAGCGATCCTGGAAACAGTGAGGGGACGGCCCCCACTGCCGTGGCCTTGGTGCAGGCCAGCCGGGAGCCAATGTACAATTTTGTGGTGGCCATCTATGCTGAAACACATTCAGTCTTAGCTCCACAAGGCTGTCTGGAAACAGCGAGGAACCAGCCCCTGCCGTGTTGGCCGCACCCCCTGGGTGCAGGCTGGGGAGGTGTCACTCTTTGTAAGGAGTAAAAAAATGCACCATCGCCTGGAAATGGCCAGCAAATGACCCTCGCCTACTGCACATATCCGGCTTGATGGGCTCTGGGGGAGGGGTTTTGGCAGGCAGCAGGGCGCTCTCCTCACAGCGCCGAGAGGCGGAGCTGGGCGGCGCAAATCCAAAAAGAAACATGACGCTGTCCAGCTCCCAGCCTACCTGGTTTCAGCAGGGAGCGGGGCACTCTCCTCACAGCGCCAAGAGCTGAGCCGGGTGGCGCAAATCTGATGAGAAGTGCAATGCTGCCTAGCCTCCAGCCTGCCCAGTTTCAGCAGGCAGCAAGGTGCAAAGCTGGCGAGCTTCGCATTGCCCGGTTCAACCTCTCGGCGCTGTGAGGAGAGCGCCCCGCTGCCTGCTGAAACCGGGCAGCATTGCGCAGGTAATGTTGACTCTCACGCTGCTCATGGCATCCTCTCCCCCAAGGCCCACCAAGCCAGATATGTGTAGATGAGGGCCATGTGCTGGCCACTTCCAGGAGATGATGCATTTCTTCATTCCTCATGAAGGGTGACACCTCCCCAGCTGCATTTCTTGCCTGTTTTTCTCCCTCCCTCATCTCAAATATTTTCCCACCACTCTGTACTTAGGAAGGAAGAAAGGAAAGAAGGAAAGAAGGAGAGGGAGGGTCTGAGGAAAGTCCTGCCTTAGTCCTGCCCGGCTGCTCTTTCACCATCCCCTTGCCTCCTCCTCCTGGCCTATTCTGGGGGTCTCCCATCCTATTGCTAAGGAAGCTTTGGATACAAAGCTGGGTCTCCTCCCATGGAGAGGGAATGGGCCTCCCTCTGACTTTGCCCTTGTACCCATCATGAGCAACCTGGATAAGGAGAGCAAGCACAGCAGCAGCCTTGAGGAGGAGGTAAGTGCAGCTGGGCGCCCCTTTGGGGAAGTGGGGCTGGGCTTGGTGCCGCAGGTGCTTGAGGGCCAGGCTGGGCGTTTGATCTCTGCTGCCCAAGGCTCCGGGCAGCCCGTGCCACCATCCAACCCCCCCGCATGGCCTGAGAGGAACAGTGAAGCTCCTCCAGTGGACCATGCCTTGGCACTTGCCCTGGTCCTACCCCCTTCTGCCAGAGACCCTCAGATCTGTCTCACTGCTGTCCAGGCCTCCATAGGCACCCTTGACGCGAATGATGTAGAACTGGCCACACCCACTCCATCCATGCCCACCCAGGCCACACGCACTGTGGCCACACACAACCCCGCCCCCCCCGAGAGCAACCACAATGCTGATGTGGCCCTCAGTGAAATTGAGTTTGACACCCCTGTTGTAGGGTTTCTTTCAGTTTCATGCCGTGACTGGTGTCAGCATTGAGGGTGTCTAGACACTGTTTTTGGTGCTCTCATTTGCTTTTACTGTTGACCATTCTGAGCATAAATGCTTTTTTCCAGTGACTTGGTCACCCGATATGGCCAAAATAAATAAAATGGAATTTTGTGTTTTTGCCTTCCAGTAATAAGTCTGATTTTGTATGCTCCATTACTTGCTTGTAATGGAATGACCAAGAAATGAACAGGAGACTTCTTCAACACTACAACTCGAACAAGTTGATTTTTCTGTCTAGTTTTTCATGTCCAAATTTTGCAACACTAGATAGCTACGGGAAATGTAGTAGTGCAGACGTATCTGCATTTGGTGGTCGGGCTGATATTCTTGCTTTTCCATGCTCTATTTACTCATTACTAGATGCAAAAGCCGGTTAGTATATAGCGCTATGATGAAAAGATAATACAACTCCAGTGCTGGCATAAGATATACTGAAATGTTTTTGGCAACTCAACTTATTCATACAACAGAACCCTTGTATTCAGTAGCAACTGAAATTTCCAGGTTGCCCTGAAATGTCTGCTGGGTCACCTGTGGCCACAGACACAGTTCACTGGAAAGAAATGAAATATTTGTTTAATGACTCAGCCATTAGTCTGAATAGTGATGTTTGCACTTGATAAACAAGATAAAAAATATCTTGACTAGAAAATAGACCTGAGAAAGACGGCTGAATTCAAATGTCAAATAATTAGGTAAACTTAACTGAACTATGCAACCTTCATAAACTATGGCTTGGGTTTTATGAGCAGAACCACAACATTGTACTACGACTATTCCTCCTCCCTGACGGAATGGAAATGTTAAGTCCTGAACAAGATTAGTACAACCACAGTTGAGCCCAAAATTTCTGTTGATAAGTGAGAAATTTATTAAGTTTGCTCCATTTTACGACTTTTCTTGCCACATTTGTTAAGTGAATCGCTATAGTTGCCAAATTAGTAACACCGCTGTTAAGAGAACCTGGCTTCCCCATTTGATTTTGCTTGTCAGAAGGTCAGAAAAGGTAATCACATGTCCTCGGGACATGGCAATCGTCATAAATATGAACCAGTTGTCAAGCATCTGAATGTAAATCACATGACCCTGAGGATGCTGCAATGACTTTAAGTGCGAAAAATGGTCATAAGTCACTTTTCTCAGTGCTATTGTAACTTTGAACCATCACTAAATGAACTGTTGTAAGTCGAGGATTACCTGTACATTCTATGGAACTAACATGTATGTTTGCCATGCTTCTTTGGGGAAAATGGTGCCACATAATTTCTACAATGCACTTATTTATGGTTAATTCCATAACTGATTTATAGAATTATCTATTTTTCATTTTAACCTAATACAGTAGACTAAAATGTGGTTAGCTAATATGCGGTTCAATGTCATGTAAACAATGATTATATATGATAATGCTCTCATCTAATCCTATCAATAAGAATATGATGAAGCCAGCTCCTCAGCTTTGAGCTACTAAATAACTGAGCACAAAGGAAAGGCAGCTGCAGAACTATCATTTCTTTCAAAGAAATATTGGGAAATTTACACTGGTTGATTACTTCATATCTTTAAAAATAGCTTTGAAACATTACACTGGAAAGTAAACTGTGGATTTACTTTGGAGAACTGTTTTTCTTCTTACAAGCCTGTAATCCCTTGCTTCGGAGTGGAGTCGGGATGACTGAATGGAGCTGAGCGTTTACTGGCTGGATGCCCTTCCTGACATCTACCTGGAGCTTGCAGCAGATATTTTCTCTTTACACCCTAATAGAGAAACATTTGTCACTGCCTAGGATTGAATTCTCAACCTTCCGAGTGGGAGTCAAGCATCTTCACCTCTAGGCCACTGTGCCGCTCTGCTTTGGAAAATGTTCTTATGCATTTGGGCCATATTAAATAAGTATATGTGGCAAGTAAATATATTGTACATGTGATAAAATAACATTTGGGGCTTTTCAGTACAAGGATTTATTTCAGAAATTCTCTCCTTCTACACCAATCAAGTCTTTGTTTCTGGGGCCTTTTACTCTTTAGAAAAGAAAAGCAACTGGCAAAGGTAAGGTCTTTCTGTTTCAGCACCTGCATTATGCAATAGCCTTTAAAAAGTTTGTCATTATTGCCTGTTTGGGGTTTCATTTTGATGAAAATTTTATATTCTCTAACAATCTTTTTATGCTATAAACATACTAGCGTGTCTTATTTCTAAGTACTTATGCACAGGATTAAACTGTCAATATTGCAGAGGGCTCTCTGATGCTACTTTTGTTTATTCTCTTTTATTGGTATAAAAAAACTTAAATTTCTGCAATTTGTTTGCTTGCACTTGTTTATGTGTAGGGTATAGAAGAGCTAGTATAAGTAGGACAAAAATATATGCATGCAAAGGTGCTAGCCCAGGTTGAACCTGCCACCTCAAGTGCTTTCCTCCCTTCCCCCCCCCCCCACTGCAGAGGCCCTGCCTTATCAGGGATTCAGCTGCCAAGCATCTTTAGACTGGACTTCCTTGGGAATGCTTCTATTTCTTTGGAAATGGAAATGATAATACGAAGAGCTGCTCTCAGCTTCATTAAGAAAACCCTGGATTTTAAAGTCACTTGTTCTCTTTTTCCAAGAGAATACATGTATGAGAGCTGGAAGCAAGTGTTTTTAGTGCTTCTGAAATGAGGATTCAAATGTATGATAATAAACTTACATTGTGGATAATTACAGAAACTTGTAACATCTAGACCAACATGCTATAAAATACACAGAAGCAGGCAATTATAGCATTTATTTACAATTATGGTATCTGCCATTGTCAGGTAATAAACTAGGAATAATTACACCATTATACTGGAACTGGCTCTCAGTAATGTTCACTCTGGAGGCTGAATCACATAATCCCTAGCACCACCAGAACCATTCCTTAGGGCCAGGCATTCTGAAAATAAGGTATACCCAATGGAAAATAGAAGGCTGTTATCATCCTTACTGTATTTCACTTCTTTTAGGGGCCTGCTTTTCATTAAACCGATTCTTTATTTTAAATGTAATAATGTTTTCTACTGAAGGACTAGAAATTTGCCAGAATCACATAAGTCGTACTGTATTAGCTCACAATATTTTCTAAGCATTTAAGGATTTATCTTTCAGCATGATATATAGTATGTGCTAATGTTTGTTACTAAGGAGGTCTAGCAATGCATACTACCTTCCATACAGGAGATACAATTAATATTCACACAAAAGGAGAAATGGATTATACATCTGATATCAGAAATGACAATATTCAAAACTCAGTGGGAGGGGCTATTCCCACTTTTTGGAATACTCTGAGCCTTATTTCGATATCAGGTAGGTGGATTTCTGTTCTACAGCAGGAATTTATAGTTTCTACTGACTCTCATATGCTTCAAAATATTTAGGCATTTTCTTTTAATAGATAAAAAAAATGCTATCCTATATATTTTTTACTAATAAGCCCCACAGATTAATAAAATTTATTTTCCAATAAATGCATGTCAGATTGCATCACAAGTAATTGAAGTTTAGTGTGTAATGACTTACTATAGCTAGAGAACACAAGGGTTTTATTAAATTGTAGTTAAAATTATCTTGAGCATTCTACTGATCTATAGCAAACAGATTGTTTAACTTTCTACCATGATTGTCAATATTTTTGACTTTGAAAATGATCACAGTACAGCAATCCATTGTTCTGTGCTTTTAGTAATGCTTCATTATGCTGATCAACACAGTTTATACATTCTAATCTGACACTGGATAGATGAATGGATTTTCAGTGCCTGATAAAATAAGCATTGCTGGCATGCAAAGCCATTGTCAGTGTCTAAATGTCAAATGATCAGTTCAGGTGTTATATATTAAATTTAATGAGCTGCCTTCTCTTCAGTTCTGCCTCTTTCCTTATATATATTGAAGCCACTTTGGACTTCACACAACACACTACTGTGGTTTGTTTGATTTTTGCTCAGTGTGTAATATGACCCTAATCACTGAAGTTTGTAAACAGATGAAATAGTACAATGTGTGAATCTAGTTCACTGCAATTTATACAATAAATCATACTTGGTGTAATGTGAACCAAGCCAGCATGATTAAATACTGTATATGAAAACCTACCACATTAAGATCAACTTCTCTCCAGAGTGCTCATATTCCAGTTCCTCAAAGGAAGGGTTATCCCTTACTAGCATCTAGACCTGATACTGTTCAAAAAGAATTGTATCACATAATATGCCATAAAGAAGAGGGAATTAAGCTATTTTCCAAAGCACCTGAAGGCAGGACAAGAAGCAACGGGTGGAAACTCATCAAGGAGAGAAGCAACCTAGAACTAAGGAGAAACTTCCTGACAGTGAGAACAATTAATCAGTGGAACAGCTTGCCTCCAGAAGAAGTAAATGCTCCAACACTGGAATTTTTTAAGAAGAGACTGGACAGCCATTTGTCCGAAATGGTGTAGGGTTTCCTGCCCGAGCAGGGGGTTGGACTAGATGACCTCCAAGGTCCCTTCCAACTTTACTACTATTACTATATTTCTATATATTTGAATTTAACCATCTTGAATGATAGTGTATTTTGATGTGGTTATTTCATTTTTGCAACATCATAACAACATCACTAATCCTATTTAAAAAGGCACCATGGTTATTCCCATAGCAAACCTCTTCATCCCACCTGGCTCTTTTAGAAAATTACACTACATAAGCAAACTGACCTATTTGCTTGCTGGAGTATTTTACTATTAAAAAGTAAAGAAGTCCATATCTTTAGAAACAAAAGATAAGCAAGGAGACTGGGTTAAGTAGCTGTAATAGAATCTGGGATACTATTAAACTTGGCAGTGTAGCAGATAGATATTATTATAAAACTTTCCACTATAAACACTACTGTAATACATAGAAACATTACAAAACCAATAAAGGAGAATATTTGTAGCTCAGCAATGATGATGATGGTATCTAGTTTGGGTAATGAAACATTTTTCAAGAAAACAAGCAAGCTCAGAAAGTACCAAGTACCCCACATTACAAAACAGAAAACGGTGGAGTTGCTGTTTTGATTTTGAAAATAATTTGAGTTTATCTATAGCAGACAATTTGGGACACAGTTAAACATAATTCCTATTAATGGATCTTTAGCTTTCTGGGCTGTATTTCACACATGCTTGCTTTACTATTACCAGTAACATGTCAAATAAATATCCCCCCCCCTGCAACGAATTTAAACTTTAGTATCAAAATAACAAAAAAATTCAGGATATTTAAATGAGAGTAACAGGTCCCAGATCAACGTACAGTTTTCAAATTATTTTTTATCAGTTCTAGGATATGGCACCTATTTATAGGATTGAAGCTATGATACCTCAATTGGAGGAACAGAAAGTCAACTCTTGTCACCTCAATCTGAACTCACCCAAAAAATAAATAAAATAAAAGACTTTCCGAGGGAGGTGGTCGAAAAAAAAAAAGGAACTTTCCTGTTCAGCAGCTGTGGCCAGCTCCACCAGGGGGCGGGAAGAATAAGGAACGATTTCGCGTCGTGTACCAGTTTGTCCGCCCGCGGCCCCTGTACCATCTGCGGCTCTCAGGCTGTTTGAACGCGGGGAAAAGTTTCTGCAACGCGATGGTGCCCAAGTGTATCAGAAGAAGACCGCCGCCCGGCAGGTCAGCGAGGGTGAGCTGCAGGGGTGAGAGGAAGAGGAGGAGGAGGTGCTGGTGAGGTACAGGGTCGAAAGCGGGCGAACTCGGACATTTTAGCGAGCGGCTGCCGCCGGGGCGACACAGACCAGTTGCAAGTTGTCCAGTTGCCATGACGACGGCGAGGATGCTCGCCGCGTTGGGGCGCCCAGAGCCGCCGGTTGCAAGGGGGGGGGGGAGAAAGAGCAGCATCTTCGCCGGTTTATCCCACGGGGGCGGGTACGCGCGAGACCCCTCTTTCTTACTCGGGTGCTTTACAAGGCTAGCAGTGTTCAGAACGGCGCTGCGTTTGTTGTAGGAAAAACAAAACAAAACAAGCACAAAAAACAAACAAAACAAAACAAAAAACCGGCAGTCCCGTAGTAACTTCAAAGCTATCGTGCTTCTTGTGACTTTTTAATGGCTTGGAATCCCAATTCATGAACTGCATGAAACATTGTCCATTTTGGTAAATGAGTTCTACAAATGTTGTTAGAGGGGGGAAAAAATGCGTGAGCAATGCATTCAGAGGAAGACAAAATGCAAAAGGTGCTGACTGCAATAAAAGCCTATATTGCATTTTACCCTCCTACTAGTAACTCTGCAGTTTTGTCTAGGCTAATAAAGTAAGTTCTACAGAGTTCTATGAGACTTACTCCTAAATAAACTGATATGTGATTCAATCCTAAATGTATACTAAATTAATATAGTGATTATTCATATTGGTGCCAACAAATATTTTGGTATTGTAAGTCAGTTAACATATACAATAGGGCATAAATACTTAACCTTTGTTAAGAAAAAAGAAGATGGAATTGAGCATCTTGTTAAACAATTTAGTGAGTCTTTGCTGAAACATGTTGCTTCCAGAATGGGTATCTCTATACTTTAGTTGCACATAATCCTGAAAAATGGAAATGTTTTCCCACTAATTTCCACATGTTAGTATTTATCATGTAAATTTACACCATTAATTGATTGGTTGATTATGTGCCATCTTAGTGATCACATAGATATCTTTTCTCTATGATGATCTGTCCCTAACCTTGTCCTTCAAGTATGTACTGTTATATCATCATGTAAATTGTCACATTTAATCACAATTTTCATTTTAGGGTTTCATTTAAAGTGCAACATTGTCAATGTCATAATTTTTTTTTTATCTGGACTCTGGATAATTTTAAATGTTTATAATCTTGACATTTTTCCTGCTTTGCTTTTATCAAGGAAAGTTTCAGATAATGAATTTTCTTCTGCCTCTCTCCAAATGTTTGAAATTGAAGCAGAAAATCCTTTTAGAAAAAAGTTGGCAACCTGAAATACTGAAGCAAATTAGTCTAGTTTTCACATAAACTCTGTATGTTTATTAAAACAAAATATATCTGTATGGTTTAGCCAGAATTTAGTTTTATAAATAAAATGATAAATCAGTATCAAGGTTCTTCAGCATCCCTGACTAGAACACATTTTTGCAAATATATCTAAATCTGATTTTCTTCTGGAATGCTGTGTGTTTGTAATAGTTAGAACTACTTCCGCTAACACTATAATCAACTGTGATGTTTGCCAAATTAAAAACACAGCTAGGTTATCTTGTTCTTCAGAATTGGAAGAAAATGCTTAATTTTCTTTTTTAATTTAGCTTTCCATCTGGGATATTTCAGTAATATAATTCCTTCCAGTTTTCTATTTCTATTTTCTATTATTCCTAGTGTCATAATAAAACTCACAATTCATCCTAACTCATAGTTTTCTATAAAATATTACTTTTGTATGTAGCTTTCTACCATACATGCAGACCAGAATAAGATCTCTGAGGCTGCAACAAATTTGTCTAAATTAAATGAGGATATAATTTAGTACAATAGATAATTGTTTTTTATTGCTGTCTCATACTACTTTGTAAATGTTTCCTTAATACTTAAATTATATCTAATATATGGTCTTCATTTATACAAAAGTAATTGAAATAAGAATTAAAAATATCATATTTGTAATAATTTTCTTTTATTTGGGGAGTTGGGTTGCCTTTCCGTATAAGTTGCACCTGTCTGCAGTTTCTTAAGGTATATATAACAAAAATTAACTTAGTTTTGATTGTTAGCTACCAGATTTAATATGGCAAAATGTTATGAAGTAAACCATATCTTGTATCACTTGTATTGAAAAGGTATAAAGGTAATAATAATAATAATAATAATAATAATAATAATAATAATAATAGCAGTAGTAGTAATAGTAATAATAAAGTTGGAAGGGATCTTGGAGGTCATCTAGTCCAACCCCCTGCTCAGGCAGGAAACCCTATACATTTCAGACAAATGGCTGTCCAGTCTCTTCTTAAAAACTTCCAGTGTTGGAGTCAGGTTGTTCCATTGGTTAATTGTTCTAACTGTCAGGAAATTTCTCCTTAGTTCTAGGTTGCTTCTCTCTTTGGTTAGTTTCCATCTTGCCTTCAGGTGCTTTGGAGAATAGTTTGACTTCCTCTTCTTTGTGGCAACCCCTAAGATATTGGAACACTGCTATCATGTCTCCCCTCATCCTTCTCTTCATTAAACTAGACATACCCAATTCCAGCAACCATTCTTTATATGTTTTAGCCTCCAGTCCCCTAATCATCTTTGTTGCTCTTCTCTGTACTTGTTCTAGAGTCTCAACATCTTTTTTACATCGTGGTGACCAAAACTGGATGCAGTATTTCAAGTGTGGCCTTACCAAGGCATTGTAAAGTGGTATTAACACTTCACGTGATCTTGATTCTATCCCTCTGTTAATACAGCCTAGCATTGTGTTGGCTTTTTTGGCAGCTGCAGCACACTGCTGGCTCATATTTAAGTGATTGTCCACTAGGACTCCGAGATCCCTCTCACAGTTACTATTATTGAGCAAGGTACCACCTATACTATACCTACGCATTTGGTTTTTCTTGCCTAAATGTAGAACCTTTCTATTTTCACCATTGAATTTCATTTTGTTAGACAGCGCCCAATGTTCAAATCTGTCAAGATCCTTCTGTATCTTAAGCCTATCTTCTGGAGTGTTGGCTATTCCTGCCAGCTTGGTGTCGTCTGCAAATTTGATGAGTTTTCCATCTATCCCCTCGTCCAAATCGTTGATGAAGATGTTGAAGAGCACTGGGCCCAGAACAGAGCCCTGGGGCAGCCCACTACACACTTCCCTCCATGTAGATGCAGTTCCATTGAGGACCACACGCTGAGTATGGCCGGTCAGCCAGCTACAAATCCATCTGGTGGTGATGCTGTCTAACCGACATTTATTATCTTATAAGTAGTAGGTTGTTATCTATGATTTTAATCATAATGATTAAAAATTATCAATATATTGAACAACTGAAGAATTATTGAGTTAAAGATTCTTTAAAAGTCACAATTGGTCTCCATTTAATTTTTTTTACCAAGTATTCCTAACAAATTACTTCAGAAATTGTTGCTACAGGTAGTCCTTGATTACAATAGTTCCTTTAGTGACAGTACAATGGCACTGAAAAAAGTGAATTATGACCGTTTTTTACACTTATGACATTGCAGCATCCCCAAGATCAAGTGATTAAAATTCAGACCCTTGGCAACTGACTCATATTTATGACAGTTGCAGTGTCTTAGGATCAGGTAATCTTCTGATTAGTAAGGTCAATGGAGAAGCCAGATTCACTTAACAACCTTGTTACTAACTTAACAACTGCAGTGATTCACTTAATAACTATGGCAAGAAGGGTCGTAGAATGGGGCAAAACTCACTTAAGAAATGTTTTATTTAGCAACAGAAATTTTGGGCTCAATTGTTTTTATAAGTCGAGGACTACCCTTATACCTTTAATGCTATGTGTTAATCTAGCTATTGAGAGGCTTTTGATTTCTGTTCAAAGGAATTTTCAAAAGCAGATTGAGTTGACTGAGATACATTTATTTGCATTTAAGTATTTTGAAGACAGATTGTAGGGTCAGACATAATGAGACTGGAGGGTCCTAGGGATAATACAGGACGTGGAAATTCAATTTCCTTTTGATCCTTAGGAATGTTCTAAATGGAATTCCAGTCGTGAATATTCCTTCAGCAGGATGAAAACTCTGGATTCAAGTCTACAAAATAAGCAATATTGCAGTAATTACCCAATATGTATTTTTCTCAAAAATATGTACTTAATATTTTTTCAAAGATCATATTATTAAGTAAATTATTAAATTTAATATGGTCATTTTTTTCAACTCAGAAGAGTATTCTTCCCACCTTATCACTGCATTGATTAGATTTGAATCAGGAACTATTTACAACAAGCTAACCCATGTTTTACACTATAGGACTATATTGCTGTTCTAAATTAAACAAGCAAAAGTGAATGGAAATTATGATGAACCTGATACAAACTGCCAATACTACTATGATTTGAAATATTAATGGTTTATGTAAACAGAATTTTGGTTTAAAGTAAGATTCAAATCTAGTCAGTGCAGAGATAAGATGGGAAGAATTTGAACTCAAGAACTGAGAGGGTGAGAAGAATGAGAGTGGAGAAGAAATATCATCTCTTTTAACTGATTTGTCAAGAAATCAATATTTCAATTGATCATGGAAATTCAGTATTTCTACAGTGACACTGTATTCCCAGAAGAATAGTTTACCTTCTAATATTTGAAAATTTGTTATGGGGGAGCTCCAAATTTAGACTTTTTTGTGTTATTGTCACATTTCTAGTTATTTTATATCTACAATCTTTCCAGTTTCTCTGTCTTGAAGTATGGTTATTGCAGTGATATGTATAGCAAATCTGGCTTTTGATACTTCAAGGTAGGCTTTTGTATTGATAGGAAGGCAAGCAGGCAGGGTATTAGCAAAGCTGGATAAGTAATGCTGAGCAGAAGAGCAAGAAATGAAAAAGTCGAGTCCTTTTGTTGTTTAAACTAAAGTAGCTGGCCCTATCAGGAAATACTGCTGTGGAGTATCAAGTTTTGTAACATGAGCTTATGTAGCTTAGTGATATCTGGAAAGTATTCTTTCATATGATTTTGGCTCCTTATAAT